TGCCCACGTCCCCTGCTCCCCAAACCTGGCTCAGCCTGGGAGCTGCTCCAGGGAGCTTACTCAGGAGCTGGTGCACATACCTGGTGGCCCTCGTCTGCAGGACACCATCCCTGTCACTGCAGCATTACGTTAATGAGCTGGCACCTCCCAGCCCATCACATAATGTTGGTCGGGATAGCCGGAGAGAGCCTCGCAGTTGGACAGCCCCTGAGACCTGTTCAGTTCAGCTTTCTTCTCTGTCTCTTTCTCTCTGTTAACACAGAGACTCTGCACATGCTTTCTCTCTAACTGCAGCATAACCCTTTCTTCCCTGGAACATCCTATGGGTACTTCTGGGGTAGGAACGGGAAGACGCTTGCCCTACACAGCACTCGCTGTCGCCTCAGCAGCTGCTCCCTGCTCTGTGGTGCCTCTTGCCAGTCTTGTCTAGATAGCAGCTCCAAGGAGAGTCTCTGAAAGTAGCATCCAGCCCATCTCGATCTTCCTGCCAGCTGGTGCTTCGAGCAGGTGAGAAGGAAGGAGGCAGGCAGAGGAGGAAAGGAGGGGTTTGGCTGGCTGCTTGAGGACCCAGGCCAAAACCAGAGCTGGAATGCTGATGTTGCAGGTGCCTGGTTAAAGCAAATTGAAGAGTAAATATGCGCGTAAAGCCTTTATTTTTTCCATTCATCACAATGCACTTTTTATTTCTGACCTTAGCCTCAAGAATGGTGCCAGACATGTTCTGTGATTTCTCCCCTTTTCCCCTCCAGATGTCCAAATGGATTCTTCGGACAGAGATGTTTGGAGAAACTGCCTTTGCGATTGTACATGCCAGATCCTAAGCAAAGTATGTTTGAAGATAAAAAATGCACCACACTACTTAAAACCTCCCGGGCACAGCGGTGGATGTAGAGTGGTCTAGTCAGGGATGGCTCTTGGTGTCAGCTTTGGCCTAGGGCTTAGGGATGCAGGTAAGGGTGAAGGCTGAAAGCAGACGGATAGGAGTCATGGAAGGGATCAGAAAGGGCCTCAGATTGGTCTGTTTGGGTGTCATTTTGCTATCTTGTTTCTCTCTTTCTGGTTTTCTTTCTTCCGGTAGGTGTCCGATCGAATTCACAGGAGACCGGTGTCAGCATTTCGCAATGGTCAGCTTCTCCAGTATGTCTCTTTCTATTTCTCTCTCTCCCTGGTTATTGTAGCTCTGTGTCGTGTCCTTAAAGCAGGTTCTTCTGTTCTCCAAGAGCCCTCTTCCTGTCTTGTGCACTCCCAGCTCTGCTTGGCCCTGAGAGGAGCTGTGATTGTGTCCAAGAGGAGAACCGGGGCTCTTGTCTCCCCATATGTTAGAATGGGTTCTGCTTTCATTTCTGATTGAACTTAATGTTGCTTGCTCTTTTCACGCAAAATGCAAATAAGGCACAAGGTTATGTGGTGTGCTGTGTGAGAACAGTCTGTGTGATGAGCTGTATCTGCTAGCATTGCTGTCTCAAGATGGACTATGTGGTGTGGTGCAAGAGATGTACATTTTCCTGTGACTCCTGGGGTGTGAGTCTCTCTGTACCAACTGAGGAAATCACCGCGAGGGCTCTAATGAAATTTCCCCTGAGGTGAGGTTGTGTTTCTGTTTCCAGAAGCTAAACCAAGCATCAGTTGGTGTCCAGGTGAGGTGGTTGGAGGCTGACTCAGTGGCAGTGCCTGGAGCATGCCCAGGGAGCTGGACAGGGCACATGTACGTGCCTGGAGCCCCGGAGGTGACGCTGATGGCTGCCACTGTGTTCAGGGCTTCCCACACCTCAAATGCCATCCAGAATACAGCTAAATCTGCTGCCTGGGCATCTCAGACTATATCCTCTCTGACACAGAGATGTCCCTGTCTCTCCTGGAGGTTGAACAGCCTTGCATATGGAGTTGTGTCTACCTGCAGTCTAACTACTCGCTTAACCTCATACTCAGTGGGTGTAAATACCCTAGAGCCCTTGTTTATAGTGCTTCCCAATTTCTAGTTTCCAGCTCCTGTAGGCTCTAGGTCTCCAGAGATGCCTCATTTATAGACGTCATTAGCTCATTTTGTTCAAGGAAGATAATTTTCCCAGGTCCATATTCGGACAGTGTCTGCCCAGTGAGGTCCTAGTCTGGGTAAGGACTGACCTGAAAGGAGGCACAGTTATTTGGCCACAGTGACCCTCTGTGTGACCCATCCTGCCTCCGTGCTGGCCCTTTGGACCACCGCAAATGGGGTTTTTAAAAAGAAGCTTTTTGAAAAGAGCCACAAAAGAGACTTTAATTAGTAGGAACCAGAGGAGAAATGCCTCTCCATGATGACTCCTTGATTGCCAGTACCCCCTCTCCCACAGCAGTGTAAGAAATCCTGCAGTCCTCATCCTGAACTGGCAATAGCAGGAGTCTCATTAGCACGTGCTAATAGCTGGCAAGTGCTTATGTTAGAGTCCCTTCTGCAGAGCGTACACACAAGATGCAAATGGGCTTTGTGAGGCCTCTGGGACAGCTTAATGTTTTTACATTGCCTTTTGTTCCAAATTGGCTTTCCAAAGTTGAAACCTCCGTTGATTTATTCTTTCAGACTAGAACGTCCCAATAAGCTCTTGTGAAAACGACAAACCAAAATGCTCTGTTTTGATCTTTAACCTGAGGCAAAAGGGTTTTCTTTCCCTTTTTAAACCAGTGGTGACAGGGACTGCAGTGGGATTCTCACTCGGTGAAGCTGATTTGCAGTGTGTTTCATGAGGTGGTATCCAACAGGCTTAAACATTATTGCTACCATGCTGCAAAACCAAAACAGGCGTGAAAATGAGGTTTTGGAACATTCAGGGCAAGCGTAAAAAGCATGTGTTTTGGTTTGGTTTTTTTTCCCTCTAGCCTGTAGAATCTACCTTTTTTGTGGGCATGAGATTTGTTTCAGTTTTATTCATGTGTTAAAGGAACAATGCCAACTCTAAACCCGACAGATGTACATTTCCTTACCTCAATTCTGCTTTAACCACAGGATAGTGAAAAACAGCTTTACAGTCCCAGGTACCTGTCTGAACTTGGATAAAAATCATCTAAGAAGATGATTCATATGTGTTTATAGCTGTTTTCACTTTCAGGTCACAGTTGGGTAATATATGTAGCAGCAACACTGCAGAAAAGCATGCACTGAGTTTGCTGTTCTTCTGAATAGGAAAGGCATTTCACTTGAGCCTGGGCTGTGCAAATGCTTACTTTCAGCTTTGATCAATAATTAGGGCACAGTAAAAGTTGCTGTTGCTGTGTAATTCGCTCAGGGCTTCATCCCATATGGGTTCTGACAGGTCAAAAGCTGAAACAGATTAAATGAGGTTCAGGCATTTCCACTGGATATAAAATAGCTCTGTCCTGATTCATGTTTTGAGAACATTGCCAGCACTTGATAGATACTTCAATAGTAAATAATGACACCTACGCTGGTGTTGTTTTAAATGCTTTGGGGTTATTTTAAGTTTTTAGGCCTACATCAGAGCCTTCTGATTCTTTAACATAAATATTAAATATTAGAATATGACTACTAGTAGGTATATCTCAGGGCTGAGCGAGAGTCTCTGCAGAGTGAACCGAATTTAAGATACTCTTCTGAAAAGATACAGCAGATGCTTTGCTGAATTTGAGCCAGAGATGGAGATGGTGCAGCGTCCCAGCATCGTGCCAGATGTTGTGTATCTGGGAGCAGCTCCCTATCTCACTTGCTTAAACACTTATCCAGATTTTACTCAGGTAAAACTCTCCATGTTCTCCAGGAGTTCAGGCTGTCTTTGTTTGACAAGTAGCTCTGGAGGTTTGTTTTGCTGCGATTGCCCAAAATACCCACTCAACCACTGCAATTAGGAAGATAAAAATCAGATATATTTAAATAGGTATCCTTGTGTGTGATGTTTCTCTATGTTGCCGTTGCAACCGTATGACCAAGTGCCTACTGCCAGACGTTTTGGGTATATACCTGACTGCTTGAAAATTAAGAGGAAATGTTAAAGATGGAGTTTTTTTTAATGTATCATGCTCACAGTTGCTGTTTTCTAACAGATTGGTACAGAGGAGCTCGCTAGGAATTGTATTACTGGGCTAGCTTGGAGACCTATCAGTCAGTCCCAGCTCAGCCCTTATTTTGATGAACAGAATTTGCTTTTGGTAGGAATTTGCAACAGCAGAATTCAAACAAGTATGTCAGCAGATGGGTCCTATCTGCTTGTAAGGACTTGACATTTTATTTTGTTTGCATTGTGATGCAAATGCAATGGGAAATGTGTTGAGATACCGGAAAAAAAAAATGCAAAGCATGCTAAAGCAGCTACTTACCTGAGGAAATGGATGCGTGGTGCAAACAGACAACATTGCTCTGGCCTAGCAAGGTGCCCCTGCTGAGCAGAGCTGTGGTACCTGACCGTGTCAGTGCTCTGGTCCTGCCTTTACGCTAAGCCTGCATTAGTCTCAGCCACCCTGATGGTCTGTTTTCCAGCAAGGCTTGTACCCTCAGGAGATGTAAAGTAGCACATTCATTTTGTGCAGCAGTGGCTGGGGGCGTTATGTGCCCCCAGGCAGTACATGGGCAGTACCTGATGAGCTGCAGGGTCTTTGAGATGCTGGCGCAGGGTAGTCCCACGTCCAGTAAGTATGGGCAAAGTCTCACAGGGAAACGCAAAAGCTTTATCCCATTTATTGAAGTCAGTTTTAGGACAGTATGACGGATGGCTTTCCCACATTCATCAAAACAGAAAACCTGCTAGAAGAAGGAGGGAAGGAGAGATGTCAGAGCAGACAGCTGCATTTCCACAGAGATGAAAGCAGTTGAATGGTACATATCTGAGAAGAAAAAGATGCCCTGGCTTGAGATGTGCTGACTTAAGCCTGGTTGGATCCCTTCTGTCTGTGTGAAATTTCGCTTATCTCAGCTGATCTCTGTGCACGCTCCTCCATCCACACAAAAGGAATTGGCTGATGGATCAAGGTTAGAAGATCATTCTATGTTGTCTAGGCTTTGATTAGCCTGTAAGATGAAAGCCTTATAGAAGCTGTACAATATAACTGAGGAACATTAAAGAAATATTGAAAGCAGTTTTAATTTAGACTGAAGGAGGATTAATGGCAGTGAACAGAGAGAGCAGTGATATCTTCAATTACTGTGTAAAGCAGAGGAATGCCCTGGTAGATGACAATACAGAGGATTAGTTCCAAGGGAGATGAGTCATTAAATCATCTTACTAAAATGTTTTTCACATCAAGGTCTGCATATTTCTCTTTCCGCATGATTATAGTTACAGATGTAATTAATATATATACTGCATTGTATATACGATGGTTAAGTCATATTGTCTGCTGGTTTCAGGAGTTAGATCTTGCAGTCACAGATCAGTTTTGCTTGGAAGAGACCTTCAAAATCATCCAGTGCAACCTTTGTCCTAGGCCTCTCAACACCACTAAACCCTGTCCCTCAGCACAACATCTACCCATCTCTTAAACACCTCCTGGAATGGCAGCTCAACCCCCTCCCTGGGCCGGCTGTTCCAACGCCTGACAGCCCTTTCAGTAAAGAAATTCCTCCTAATATCCAACCTGAACCTCCCCTGTACAACTTGAGGCTGTTTCCCCTTGATGTAACTCCAGTGAAACCAGAAGACTGGTTGATCCTAACTCCAAAATACGACGTAAAGCAGGATTCCTCCCTGACCCTGGCCACGGGGAATGCAGTGTGCAGGTGAGGAGTAACCAGCCGTACTGGCTGGCTATGTTCATGACATGAACTCATCTTCTGAACCCTATTCTCCATTCCCCCTCTTTGCAACAATACTGCAGCTTCAAGGGCACAGCCATGGCTTGCAGCTCTTTCCAGAAGACAGAAGCATGTCCAAAATCGTCCTTCCTTTTAAGACTCTTTTTTTTTTAAAGCTGTGCTGGCACCTGTATTTCATACAGGTCAAGATCTAGCTCTATCTTGTCTCTTCTGCAGGAAGTTTTTCACGTCTTTGTAAAACTCTACTGGAAGTTTACTAATAGATTGCCAGACTTTGTGCTGGCTGGTTGGAAAGCTTTTGAAAACACATTGGCAGCTATTTCACTCGTGGTGGGGCTGAGATACTGAAAGTTAAACATTTTGAGCAGGAACCTTGCCTAAGTGTGCATATCTGGATCCTTTCCACTTGTGATTTATGGAGCAATTTCGAAATTTGGGATGAAGTGTTATGTTTAAGCTTGTCACTTGTCTGTGGAATCTGAAATTTCATCTTAACTTTGCTATTTATTCATCTCCCAAAATAATTGTCACTGATCTGGAGGACAAATGTCATACCATTCATCTTCTTGTTTAGTGAAACATCTTAACTTTCTGCTTTCTGACCTCTTTAAAGTTGAAGTCTGTAGCCTGCCTGTAGACATCCCAGAACAGAGCCAACATTCATATACAATGCAATCTAGCATATTCTTTATTTTTACCCTATACTTCATTCTTGGCTTCTTTAAAATTTGAATTTTATTTCATAGTTGGTCTCTTC